AGTAAATGATTATTGCAGGGGACAAGATAGTAATAGTAGTAGTAGCCTCATTCAGAGTAATAATACATGGCTCAAAACTTAAGCACCTTCTCAAAACAGTTCTGAAGCATGCTTTTTGTTTGTTTGCTGACAGACACCAGTGTTTCCCACAGACTTGCAAATGCAAATTCATTCTCTGCCAGCAGGAGGCGCTGCTGGAGCGGAGATATAGCAGTTTCCCCGGTAACGGCTGTAATCAAATAAGCACTGCACTCACAAACGCTACTTTATCAGGCATTACAGCAAAGATGAAATGAAAATTTTCTTTTCGGTCAGTTCTTTTCAAAGATACAATCATATAAAAACACCAGCGCTGCATTTTAATTTTGAAACGTGCAGTGATAAGTTTATTCAACGGAGTAATAACTCAATGTATGGAAACACTGGACACTACTAAAAGTCAAATGGCCAAGTGATAGCTGTGTGTGAACAAGAAGCGGCTGCAGAGTGTGAGTTGCTCCGTCTCACGCAGCCAGAGAGAGATTCTCCGGTGTTCCATAACAACACTTAGCTGCCCGCAGATGCACTTGCCCATAAATCGGCCTAATTTGCAGCACAATCGGCCGATGCCGATTAATTAAAAAATGCCAAAAATCGGCCGATCAATCGGTCGACCTCTACTCAAAATATGAATAAATACTATAATGGTACACAAATAATAAAATTAATTTAAAAACAAATATTTTGAACATTACAAAATTACTAAAAAATTTTATTTTAATATTTGCTAAAGTTTTAGTAATTGTGTTTATTTGCCTTTTTTTTTTTTTTTTTTTTTTTTTTATAGTTCTAAGAATCAGAATTGCCAATTTTTTTTTATTTTTTTTTTTTTTAATGTTCCTATGTAGCTTTTATTAATTTTTATTTCAGTTTTAGTTTCAATGATTTTAGTACATCGCGTTGAACTAAATGAAAAGGAGAAATGTCACCTTGGCAACTATCTGAAATAAAATCATTGAAAGTTTTTTTTTTTTTTTAAGATTTTATTTTATGTCAGCTTACTGTTTTTCCCCAAAATAATTTTTTTTTTTTTCAGTTTTTAGTTTCAGTTAACTCTAATAATCACATAGATCACAATATGTTTTATTTCTGTAACTGCTGTATTTCTGACCGACTCAGAGTGGGGAACTAGTGACTTAAAGTGGCCTTTACACCTTTACGTTTTAAACAGCACACAATATCTTTATGAAAACACAAACTAATGAGAGAGAAATAAAGAGTCAGGAACAGAGATCATCTTACGTCGCTGTAATTCTCCCGAATGACTTTATAGAGCGCAGGAACCAGAGAGCCCTTGTCCTTCAGAGAGGCAGCGTAGCTGGAGACGGCTGTCTCTGGAAGAGTCTGAAGCACAGCAGAAAACACGGTCAGCACACGAGAAACCATGAAGACGATCACGATTCACGAGAGAGACCACGCACCTTAAACTCAGACAGCCACTCCTCCACTACGCCTTGATCCATGGCCAACATCTTCCCTCATCTGCTGCAGGAGATCTCAGCCTGAAACACAAACTCAATTAACTAATCCACATTACCATAAAACCCTCTCAAAGTGCTCTTTCAATGAAAAACAGGACTTTCCCTGCGGTTTAGAAAGAAAAGAACCTACAGCATGTAGCAGTGTTTATTTAAACTAACTTTCACGACACCCAGTTCAGTGTTTTTGTTGTTGTTGTTGTTGTTAACTAAAACTATTATAACAATTTTCTATATCTGAAATAACTGAAGATTTGGCAACAAACAGAAACACATAATTTGTGGTTGAAGTAGTAAAATGACTAAACCTAAAACTGATTTTAAAAAAATGCAATCAATCAATCAATATTTTCCACATTAGAAAATTACATTAAAATGAAAATAAAAAAAGCTAACTCAAAATATTAATTCATATTTTAATAGTACATGCATAAATTATAAATTTTAAAAACAAACAAATATATTGCACATTACAGAATTACTAAAATAAAAAACAAAACGAAAACTGAAAATATAAAAAATAAAATAACTCAAAATATTAATAAATACTAAAATGGTACATAACTAAATTAATAATATGCATAATTAAAAAACAAATACAAACAAAATTACTAGCCAAATTAAAAATTTAAATGAAAAAGAAAAATATAAAAATAAAAGCTAACTCAAAATATTAATTCATATTTTAATAGTACATGCATAAATGATAAGATTTTAAAAACAAACAAATATATTGCACATTACAAAATGACTCAAATTAAAAAACAAAAAGAAAACTGAAAATATAAAAAATAAAATAACTCAAAATATTATTAAATACTAAAATAGTACATAACTAAATTAATAATATACATAATTAAAAAACAAATACAAACAAAATTACTAGCCAAATTCAAAATTTAAATGAAAAAGAAAAATATTAAAATAAAAGCTAACACAAAATATGAATAAATACTATAATAGTACATAAATAGGTGAATAATTAATTTAAAAAATAAATATTTTGCACAATTCAAATGACAACTGAAAATGCATGAATAAAAGCCAACTCAAAATGTCAATAAATACTATGATAGTACATAAATGAATACATTACATAAAAACAAATATTTTGCACACTACAAAATCACTATTAAAAATTAAAATGAAATCAAAAATAACAGCAAACTCAAAACATTAATAAATACTATAATAGTACGGAAATGATACTAAAATAACACTAACTAGCTGCACTATGAACATTAGTTATCAAAACTAAACTGCATAAACAGCCACCAATGAGCTCATTAACATATGGCCACCCACATCTATAAATTAGCATATTCACAATTCAGAAACATCACTGGCCAATCATCACAGAGCTTACATATTTTAAAGGTACTGTAGCAGAAACAGCCTTCAGAGAGTCAGAAAGAGTGAAAACAACCTTTGACCTCTCGCTCTAAACAAGGATATGAGAAATTCTGGCGTGTGGTGAGGAAAATCAGATTAACAAACGTAGCGTAAGGCCAATATTAAACACAGAGGCGCTGTTTTACTCCAGGGATCCCCGCAAATTACATCAGCAGATAACTGTGCTGGTTAACCTGCCTCTAAAAAAAGACACGGACTTTAACTAGTTAACTAAACGAGGATACCGGAGACCTGTTTATATGACCACAGGCTAAACTAGTTCTAGCTAGTTCAATTCTAAGTAGTGAATTTCATATCACATTTCTTCCTAAAAATGTATAGTCAACAGTGATGTGCATATCATGAATATACAACTTACGGAAATGTGACTTAAGAGAAAAAAAATGGTACACAAATTTTATAAATTTAGATTTTTTTTTTTTTAAGTTACAAACATTGCAAATAAAGAGATAAATAAATTAAATAAAAATATATATAAAAAAATATATACATTTTTTTTTAATAAACTAAATAATTTTAAAATAAAATTACAATAAAAATAAAAACAATTAAAATAAATAAATAAAGTTTTATTTATAACTCGTTGGGCATCATTTTTATGCAAACAATAAGGGTCAGTTAAAGGCTAGTAAGTAATTAATTTCATTTACAAACCTTTAGTAGCAAAACTTGCTTCATTTCTAAACGGATATCACTGAAAGTTACAATGACTTGCATTTTAACAAATCAGATGTTCAGTATTTTCTCTGACAGATTCAAATGCATTCAGTGAAGGATTTATCAGACTGATTCAAACCAGAAACTCTTGAGTACAGGAGTATTTCTGAATGACTCGTTAAAATTCATATTTCATATGGTGTGTCGCTAGAGAGTCAATGTCGCTGGAAATACTGGAAAGACCACAATAAACATGACACTCCAACATACGTTGCTGTTTAAACGTTTGGGGTCAGTAGAATAATGGACACTTTTATTCAGCAAGGATGCATTAAAGTGATCAAAAGTGACAGTCAAGTCATTTATAATGTTACAAAAGATTCTATTTCAAATAAATGCTGTTCTTCTGAACTTTCTGTTCATCTTTGAATCCTAAAAAATAAAATGCATCACAGCTTGCACAAAAATATCGGGCAGCACAACTGTTTTCAACACTGATAATAATCAGAAATGTTTCTTGAGCAGCAAATCAGCATATTAGAATGATTTCTGAAGATCATGTGACACTGAAGACTGGAGTAATGATGCTGAAAATACAGCTTTGATCACAGAAATAAATTAAATTTTAACAGATATTCACATAGAAATCAGCTATTTTAAATCGCAATAATATTTCACATTTTTGTTGTTTTCAATTGTATTTTTGTTCAAATAAATGCAGCCTTGGTGAGGAAAAGAGACTTACTTATAACTTTATCAAAAAACATGCCTTACAAAATTCCATTTTCTTAATTTTTTTGGCGAAAGATTCATGATATTTATATTCTCTCACAGACGTTTTCCGTGGGTCTGATTTCCACCCGCTCTGACTGTCTCTCTCTCTCTCTCTCTCTCTCACACTAACTTACTGTCGTCAGTTTTTCCTCTCGTTCTGTCTCTCTGCCCAAAACTTCTGTCCGTTCCCCCGTCATATCATGCGTGAGTCACTCCGGTCTGTTTATAACCTCTACGGCTTCTTACAGTCAATGTCTCTGACAGCCATTAGTCTGCAGCTCTCGAAGCGCTCTTTAATTAGCGCAGAGACCAATCGACAGCGGAGAGAGAGAGAGAGAGAGAGAGAGAGAGAGAGAGAGCGAG